TAAGATTTCATACATAATATGCCTATTCGTTTCATAGACTGTCCATAGGACACCACACACAATGCATCTATGCGTTTCATAGACTGTTCATAGGTTTATAATACATTATGCACATAACTATGTATAAACTCAAGCGACATGACTAAAGCTACTTTTAAGGTCGTAAGTTCCCGGATCATTGGAACACTTCATGTTCATGCTCATCATGGAAAAACATAGCTCATTACATTAGCACATGTATGGTGAATCAATATGTAGATTTCAATGGTACATAGACCCAATTTATTTCCTTAAGGTTCATCATCATTTAGCATAGGACGTCTCTTTTATTATATACCCCTTTGTCATCTTGGGTCACTAACTAAGTTCATGATTTTTGCTTTGGCAACGGCCACGGTTCATGTTCATACTACCACCTACTTGTACTAGTCACGGGTGATCATATGACATTAATGACATTATTATATAAAGGAGTCAAAACTCATCTCATAATGTTTCACACATTCTTTCATTTCATTGGCACTATTGGCCAGAATTATAAAATTATTCTTGGCATGCCGGCCGTATTTAGTATTTCATGCTTACCTTTTTCACTTTCAAATATCATCATCAACAGTAAAGCATTTCTATTCGAGACATTAAGTCAATATGTGAGAAGGTACGAACGTTACGCATATTGAGATTTCTTTACACAATTTGGCATAATAGATTTCATTTGGGCTACAACTTGATGTTATAACAATTAGATATGCAACCCATGCTTCAAACACATTTTCAAATAGCACATAACATAATAGGAACATTTGGAATACATATTGAGAATATATCTTTTGGACACATAGGAGAACTCGAACCAAACCCAACAGCCATGGTTTCATCATAGGATCCAGGAAACAATCATTTACACAAGTCAATTTGCATATTCAACAGGCAGAAAAAAGGACAGAACTAAGTAGTGAGGAAAATGGCCAAAGAACCTCAAGCCCTAGTGTGTCAGAGTTCACAAGGTTCTCAAAATGGACTCCGAGCAGTGCTCACACTAGGGAGGTTAATAGAAAAAAGCTTTAGCGGCCTTGGCTTTTTCAGCCGAAAGAGGTTAGAGATGGAATAGATAACAAATGAGGGAAAGTGGACAATGGTTGAGGGGAAGGAATTGAGGGAATACACATATAACATAAAGTATACATAGCAAGGATGAGAACACAAAGCAACTAATCAAATAGGTCACAAAAATTAAACGTAGGTTCAGCAGGGAATTAGAAGCAAGTTCAACACTTAGTAAAAGAACACATAGACGGCCACATATTGAAAGAGTTAGGGGAAAAAACAAGTTTGCAATATTGAAAAAGATTATCATGCACAAGTGCATAATACTAACAAATTGAAACCTAAAAGGTCCAAATTATGCTAAGTATACATCCTAGTGTCATAAGACAGACATGTTAACTCTCATCAGGGAACAGGACAACATTCAGACATGATAGGGGAACACACATTGTGACAAGTCAAGTAATCACTAAAGGAACAAGGAATTAAGTGAGCCAAAGACATGATGGGGGACATATTCCAACTTATTACAGATATGAGGCATTCATTACAGAGATTCAGGACAAAGCAGGTAAGCATATTCATGAACATTCAAACACTAATACACTAGCTAAACGAGCTTAGGAAGGTTTAGATTATCCAAGTTAGACATAGACAATCTCAGAACTAGCGGCATTAGGAGGAGTTAAATGCTAGAGAGATTTAAAACGAGTGTAAAGCTAACAAAGTTATGCATAAAAGTAGCCCAGAAACACATTAAGCCCTATATTTCAGAAGCGAGAGCACATGCAAATCAGAGACACATAAAAATGAAATTGCAAAAGACCAAGCGACTTACCAGTTAAACGGTCAACAACAAAGAATAAAAATTCCACAAGAACCTAGAATCTCAATGAGTCAAAGTTCCCAAGAGCTTCAAAAGAACTCTGGGCAATGCTCGCACCAAGGGAAAGTTTGAATAGCAGAATCTCAGTAGCCTTGGCTTTCAGCCGGCCAAAATGAAGTACAGAATAAGAGAATGAGGGAAACAAAGCTCCAATTGTTTAGTGAAAGTATATTGATTCCCCTCTACTTCAAAGGGGAAAGGGGAGAGGTTTATATAGTAGCAAAATTAGACGAATAAACAAGGAAACAAAGTAAATAAAAACCCAAAATAAGGAAAGAAAGCATGCAAAATCGATTTAGATCAATTTAAGAGAGAAAACGGGTAAACCCTAGTTTAGACGAGGAACAAAAAATGGCCAAAATCTCGCTGATTCGAAGCCAAGGAGTCTGATAGTTAATGTATCAAGTCAGAAACATGAAGATGATACAGAATCAGAATCAAACGAACGCAACGATTTAGCTTCCATAAATAATCAAGTAACCAGTACTTGTAGCGTTCAAAATATGGTAAGTAACTCCGCTTATGCAAGAAAGGAAAGGAATCATGGATGGTTTCCATGTAATGTTGGATTGGGACCGAGATTTGAGTGAGGACGGCTAGGCTTTAGATTTGAGAGATGAGAGCGTGTGAGGATACATAGGCGGTGGGGTGGGGATTTTTGTCTCTAGGGTTTGGGGTATTGGAGATATAAGGAAATGGTAGGTTAATTACGAGTCGTTGATCATTTAAGATCAACAGCCAATATTGAACAGGGCAGCGGGGCGGGTTATTAAGCGGGTCGCGACCGGGTATTGGGTTAAGAGGTCGTTTGGCTTTTGGCTGGGGTAATTGGGCTAGGTATTTGAGTGTTTGGGCCATTCATTTGGTCCGAAATTGGTTTAAAAATTGGGCTGTTGTTTAAATACCCAAAAGTTATCAAAAATAATTTATAAAAGTAATTAATAAATAACAAAAAATATTATTTATGCACTAAAAATGATAATAACTTAACATTATGAAAATATAAAAAGATATTTTGGCACAAATAATATTATTATACATGAATATAGGCTATTATTGCCAAAATATGCAATTAGCCTAAAAATGCAAATGCAATTATAGAAAAATGAAGTAAAGTATTATAAAACGTACATGTTGGTGTAAATAATAAGTTTGGATGATTAAATCATCACAAAATAATTTAAAAGATAATTATTAGATATTTATATAATAAAAATATAGAAAGAAATTGATTTAGAGCTTTAAATATTATGGAAAATTATAGAAAATGCTTGTATAGGCTTGTAAACTAAATGATGATACAAATATGCCATTTTGAAAGTATATATGAATTTTTAGGAAATATGAGGGAAATATTGGGTATCAACAATGGGTAATAATTATATTCAAAAATTTTCGGAATCCGGGCACGTGGGCCCAGGGGTGAATTTTAGGAATCTTCTAATTTGGGTTGGGTAATTCCTCTAAAAGCTAAATTATGAACTATTGAGTATATATTGATTAAATTTTATAATATATGACTAGTTTTAGACTGTTCGGCATCGACTTGGGGCCTTAGGTGTATCTTTGTTGTGTATTACTTGTGTGGGGATCTACTTACGCACGAGGTGACGAGAGTCCGTGCGTAGCTATCTTCCATGATATGTCCGGGTAGACTAAGATCTGCATCATGCTTTTAATTGTATTGTTGTATTTATCATGCGTATTAACTGTCTTGAATAGAGCTGAGACTAGGGATTTAACGTTGCAATTATCGACTTAGCCTTCTTATTTCGGAAAATTGAGGAATACTTAATAACTATAAAAAAATCTATGTCTTCTCGTCTCGCAAGTACTTCTGCGAGCAAGGTAAACTTCTCTACTCTAATTGGATCGGATTGTTCGCCTCAGTAGTATGATAACACCACTCTTATGGGATCGGGCCGTTCGCATTGGCGGTATGATAACACTGCTCTTATGGGATCAGGTCATTCGCCTCAGCAGTATGATGATAACACTATTCTTATGTGATCGGGTTGTTCGCCTTGGCAGTACTGAGTACCGCTATTCTTATGCGATCGGGTCGTGCGCCTCGGCAACTTCGTACTTAATAATCAAAACGGGTTCCAGTTTGGATATAATTGAGTTAGGGCCTTCATGGCCAGTTACAAGATGTTGGTGATGTGTTACGGACTCCTATTGTATTTATTGTAGTTGCTTTTATTTGTCTCATTGATACCTGTTGTATACTCACCATGTCTACTTTATGCACTTTTATTATTATTATTGACCTCTAGTAAGTGTCAAGTCGACCCCTCATCACTACTTCTTCGAGTTAGACTAGATACTTACTGGGTACGCGTAGTTTTCTATACTCACGCTACACTTCTGCACTGATGTGCAGGTACAGAGACAGGTTCCACCAGTGGTCACGCGGGAGCATAGCCGATCATCTACAGAGACTTAGTGGTGAGCTGCTTGCCTTGCTACGACCCGCAGCACCGGAGTCTCCTTTCACCTTATTTACTATTCCTGTCTATTACTTTCGGACAATAGTTTTTAGTAGCTTTGTATATTCTCTAGATTGCTCATGTACTTCTGACGCCGAATTTTGAAGATTTGTAGCACTTATATACTGTTGTACTTGTCATTTCTACCACCGCAAAGTATGCATTTATTATGTTGGTATTTCGTTTAAAAGGATTTGTCATAGTTGCATGAATTGTAGTTTAAAGTGTTCTCTAACGAGGAAATACTTCTGTATTAAAATTGCTAAAAAGGGGTAAATCAATTATAGTTACACTTGTGGGCTTGCCTAACGGCGACATTAGGTGCAGTCTCGACATATCATGGATTTGGGTCGTAAAAGCTTGGTATTAAAGCTTTAGGTTCACATAGGTCTCACGAGTCATGAGCAGACCTAGTAAAGTCTTGTGGATCAATGCGGAGACGTCCGTGCTTATCTTCGAGAGGCTATAGGGTGTTAGGAAAATTCTATTTCTTTATATCCTATCATGTAGTTGATATTATACTAAGTGTCTTTCTATTAATCTCTCACAGATGGTGAGAACACGCGCGACGGATGTACCAGGCGGTCGAGGGGCTGCTCCCTCCATTTCTAGAGGCCGGGGGAGGGCTCCAGCTCCAGTCAGAGGACGAGGGAGCCCTAGGGTTGCTCCTGTTGTACCACTAGTGGATCCAATAGAGGATCCTGTTACTGAGGAGTAGGATGAGGCGCCTGCAGTTGTGCCAACCACATCAGATTTCATGACTGCGGCAGGATTCTAGGAGGTCATGGGCCGTATGCTGCGGTTCATGGGCTCTATGACGCAGACTGGTTTATTTCCAGCGGACCCTACCATATCTCAGGCGGGAGGGGGAGCACAGACCCCTACCGCTCAGGCTCCATGGCACGTCGCTGCCGTTTATCATATGCTAAGTGCACTACCTGCTGGTAGAGCCTAACCTATTACAGCGGTTATGCCAGAGGTTGTACCAGCCGCGACCGATGATCAGCAGAAGCGGCTGGGCAGATGGACTAGGCTTTGCCCGTACCTTTGGGGGTGAGCGGTCAGAGGACCCCTAGTATTTCATTGACCAGTGCAAGGATAGGCTCCGGAACATGGGGATATCGGAGTCCAACGAGGTGGACTTCACCACTTTTCAGTTTGAGGGCAAGGCCCATAGATAGTGGCAGGCTTATCTTCTTAGCAGGCCAGCAGGTTCACCTCCCTTGACTCGGGATCAGTTTACACATCTGTTCTTGGAGAAGTACATACCACCTTCCAAGAGAGAGGAGCTCCGGGGTTAGTTTGAGCGACTCCGTCAAGTTCACATGTCAGTCACTGACTATGAGGCGAGATTCACTGACTTGTCTTGCCATGCAGCTATCATACTCCCCACAGACGCAGAGAGGGTGTGGAGGTTGATTGCAGGTCTGCACCCTGAGATTCAGGTACCTATGGCCCGTGAGGTAGAGATGGGGACTTCTTTTCTTCAGGTTGTAGATATAGCTTGGAGGATCGAGCATATTCGCAACCGCAGTGGAGAGTTTGCGCCGAGGGACAAGAGGCCCTAGTAGTTTGGAGGATTCAGTGGCACCCCACCTGGGGGCAGAGGTCAGTTCATGAGGGGTCAGCCCAGCAGGCCCATGCAGTCAGCACCACCGCATGCTTGGAGTGCTCCAGCACGACCCTATTTCAGTGCCATTCCAAAGAGTACTTACCACCCGCCAGTTATTCAGGGTTCCTCCAGTGGGTATTCAGGCCATCAGGGTCAGACTTTAGGTCAATAGTCCACCGTTCTGAGAGGTTGTTTCAAGTGTGGGGATCTTGGCCATGTGAAAAGGTTTTGTCCCAAACTTCAGGTCAAGGCTGAGCAGTAGGACTATCGGACTCTGCTTACCGCACCAGCTACCACACTGCCCGCTCAGCTGGCCAAAGGCGGAGAGCAGGAGGCCAGGGGTCGTCTTTGAGGTAGAGGCCAATCAAGTGGTGCTCCGGCTAGATTCTATGCTATCCCCGGCAGGACAGAGGCAATTGCCTCTAATGCAGTGATCACAGGTACTATTTCTATTTGCTGGAGGGATGCCTTGGTATTATTTGATCCAGGGTCTACTTACTCCTATGTTTCTTCTCTATTTGCTCCTTATTTGGATGTGTCTCGCAAGTCTTTGGGCGTTTTTGTATATGTGTCCATGCCAGTGGGTGATTCTGTTGTTGTGGATTGGGTCTACCGATCCTGTGTGGTGCATTTCTGTGGATATGAGACCCAAGTGGATCTTCTATTACTCGATATGGTTGATTTCGAGGTTATCTTGGGCATGGATTGGTTGTCCCCATACTATGCCATTCTTGAATGCCATGCCAAGACTGTTACCTTGGCGACGCCTGAGTTTCCTAGATTAGAGTGGAGGGGTTCGTCTGTCGGTACTTCCAGCCGGGTTATTTCTTTCTTGAAGGCTTGACACATGGTCGAGAAGGGTTGTTTGGCTTACTTGGCCTTTGTTCGGGATACTACTACAGAGATTCCTATGATAGATTCAGTGCCGGTGGTACGAGAGTTTTTTGATGTATTTCTCATTAATCTACCAGGTATGCTGCCGGATCGGGATATCGATTTCGGCATTGATTTGTTGTCGGGTACCCAGCCTATTTCTACTTCGCCTTATCGTATGGCTCCCAAGGAGCTGAGAGAGTTAAAGGAGCAGCTTCAGGAGTTGCTTGAGAAGGGGTTCATTAGACCTAGCATGTCGCCTTGGGGCGCACCAGTGTTGTTTGTGAAGAAGAAGTATGGGAGTATGCGGCTGTGCATTGATTACCGCCAGTTGAATAAAGTCACCATCAAGAACAAGTACCCCTTGCCATGTGTTGATGATTTGTTTGACTAGTTGCAGGGTGCCAAGGTGTTCTATAAGATCTACTTGAGATCTGGGTATCATCAGCTGAAGATTCGTGCTTCGGATATTCCGAAGACGGCCTTCCGGACTAGATATGGTCACTGTGAGTTTTTGGTGATGTCTTTCGGGTTGACTAATGCCCCGTCGGCGTTTATGGATTTGATGAACCGAGTGTTCATGTCGTATCTTGATTCATTTGTCATTGTCTTTATCTTGATCTACTCGCGTAGTATGGAGGAGCACGAGCAGCATTTGAGATTAGTGTTTCAGACCTTGCGGGAACAGAAGCTTTATGCTAAGTTCTCCAAGTGTGAGTTCTGGTGGCTTTCTTGGGGCATGTTGTATCAGGTGAGGGCATTAAGGTGGGTCCCATAAAGATTGAGGTAGTCTAGGGTTGGCCTCGTCCTACCACGGTGACCGAGATCAGGAGTTTCTTGGGGTTAGCTAGGTATTATCGTCGGTTCGTGGAGGGTTTCTCGTCTATTGCAGCGCCCTTGACTAAATTGACCCAGAAGGGTGCTCCGTTCAGATGGTCCGATGATTGTGAGGCAAGCTTTTAGAAGCTCAAGGCGGCTTTCACTACAGCACCAATATGTCATCAATGAAGACAATGACAAATGAGATAAGCTATGGCCTGAACACCAGATTAATCAAATCCATAAGCGCCGCTGGGGCATTGGTCAAGCCGAAGGACATCACTAGAAACTCATAGTAGCCATATCTAGTCCAGAAAGCCATATTCGGAATAACTGAAGCACAAATCTTCAGCTGATGATACCCAGATCTCAAGTCGATCTTAGAGAACACCCTGGCACCCTGCATCTAATCAAACAAATCATCAATGCGCGGCAGCGGGTACTTGTTCTTTATGGTAACTTTGTTCAACTGGCGGTAATCAATGCACATCTTCATACTCCCATCCTTCTTCTTCACAAACAATACTGGTGCACCCCAAGGCGACACACTCGGCCTGATGAACCCCTTTGCTAGAAACTCCTCAAGTTATTCCTTCAACTCCGTCAACTCTTTAGGAGCTATGCGGTACGGTGGAATAGAGATAGGCTGGGTACCTGGCGCTGAGTCAATACTGAAATCGATATCAGGATCTGGTGGCATGCCTGGTAGATCAGAAGGAAATACATCGGAGAGCTCTCGCACCATAGGCACTAAATCAATCGTGGGAGTCTCTGTGGCAGTATCCTGAACATAAGCCAGATAAGCCAAACAACCCTTCTTGACCATATGTCGAGCTTTCAAGAAAGAGATAACCCGACTAGATGCACTGATAAATGAACCCCTCTACTCCAATCTAGGAAACTCTGGCATCGCCAAGGTAACAGTCTTGGCATGGCAATCAAGGACGGCATGATACAGAGACAACCAGTCCATGCCCAGGATGACCTCAAAGTCGGTCATGTCGAGCAACAGAAGATCTGCTCTGGTCTCATAACCATAGAAAGCCACAATGCAGGACCGATAAACCCGATCCACAACAACAGAATCGCCCACTGTCATGGACACAGGAGCACTCAAGGACTCATGAGAGACATCTAGATAATGAGCAAAAAGAGAAGAAACATATGAATATGTAGACCCTGGATCAAATAGTACTAAAGCATCCCTACCTCAGACAAAAATAATAATTGTGATTACGACATCTGAGGCTGCTACATCTGGTATGGATGGAAAAGCATAGAACCTAGCTGGAGTGCCACCTGACTGGCCTCTACCTCTAGGGCGACCCCTAACCACCTACCCTCTGCCTCTGGCGGGTGGGAGGGCCGGTGCGACAGCTGGTGCGGTGATCATTGGCTGCTGGATAAGTGGGTCTGTTGGACTGACCCCTCACGAGCTAACATCTGCCCTCATACGGGGCTCCGCTTAATCCTCCAGAATGCTGAGGCCTCTTTGCCCCTGTCGTATACAATCGGCCCTTGTTGCGGATACCCTCAATTTGCCGAGCTTTCTCCACAACCTGCTCGTAAGGAGTCCCCATCTCAACCTCTCGGGCCATAGTAACTCGAATACCATAATGCAAGCCCACAATAAACCTCCACACTCTCTATGCATCGGTGGGGAGTATCATAAGTGCATGGAGAGACAACTCATAGAACCTTGCCTCATTATCGGTCACAAACATCTAACCCTGCTGGAGCCTCCCAAACTGACCGCGTAGCTCTTCCCTCTAAAAGGGTGGAATATACCTCTCCAGAAAAAGACGTGTAAACTGATCCCAAGTCCAGGGAGGAGAACTTGCTGGTCTGCTAAGAAGATAGGACCGCCACCATCTACAGGCCCTACCCTCCAATTGAAATGTGCTGAAGTCCACCTTGTTGGACTCCAATACTCTCATGTTGTGCAGCATGTCCCTACAACGGTCAATAAAATCCTGGGGGTCCTCATGTCGCTCACCGCCAAAGGCAGGTGGATGTAGTCTGGTCCATCTATCCAACAGCTTATGCGGCTCGATGCTCGCATCTGGTCTGGGCTCTGGCGCAGCCGCTGTAACTCGCTGAGCCCTGCCCACAAGTAGTGCACCTGGGGTCTGATATACGACAGTAGCGTGACCTGGAGCCTGAGCGGTAGGGGTCTGTGCTCCCCCTCCCGCCTGAGATGTGGCTGGGTCTGGAAATAAAATAGCATGCGCCATAGAGTCCATGAACCATAGAATACAACCCATGACCTACTGAAATCCCGGTGAGGATATGAAATATGTCGGGGCTGGCTCAGCTGCAGGAACCTCGCCCTGCTACTCAATGACAGGATCCTCTACTGCATTCGCTAGTGGTACAACAGGAGCAAATCTAGGATGCCCTCGTCCTCTAGCAGGAGCTGGAGCCCTCCCCCAGCCTCTGCCTCGGCCTCTAGAAC